GTCATGACGTATCTTTCGACAAACATGCATGGGACCGCTAAGCCCCCAACTTAAATTCTGAGCGTGCATGTGGCAGTGATTTAGGCTTATGTTACTTTTGTGATGGCTAGTCTCGTGGTCTCTGTGTTGCTACCCTTTTAGGCGTTCTAACTGGATGGGCAGGCAGAAAAGAGGTCTCAAAAAACTCTACCCTCCCAATGCTCCTCCATCAAATCCAGTCCTCCTTCTCTAAGGCCCAAGCACGAAAGCCAAAAGCCAAAAGCCAAGGTCTGACGCAAGTCTTGGGCAGCCTTCGGAGCAAACTCCAGGCCAGCCAGAAAGGCGGCGAGCGGACGAAGGTGGGTCCTGGCTTCGCCAACTGCGGGCTTTAATAAGGCGGTTTAGGGTGTGGTATAGGTGGCTATACGGGAATGGCAAAGGCAGACATGCCTGGTGAAGAAGTTGAAAAAGCAGCTCTGTAATGATCATGCTTATATAGAAGATATAGAAACAGCGCCCAAACTTTGGGCCGTTCGAGCGTCAGCACTGCCAAACTCTGAACTGCAAGCCTATGCCATATAGAACACAGACCCCAAACGGCCTGAAGCCATAACACCTACACCCTACACCCCCTCAACTCAATCCTTGGTGCCGCAACTATTATAAGTCGAAGGCACTTTGACGGAAGCCTTCTTTTGGCCAACCGGAGTGGTTCTGCTGTTTGTTCGGCATTGGGGTTTCCAGGGTGATCCTACTACGACATTACTACGAATACTGCGTCTCCCTTAAGCCTCACCGCTGAAGCTCTAGCAATCTCAACTTTCAACAGCAACTATTCGTTATGGCGCCCAATCCCTGATGTTTGGCGCCTGAAAGGTGCACTTCGGTGTCATCGACACGGCCTGCGTGCTCTCAGAGCACTTCTCTGCCCGACGTAGCGAGGCACCAGCTAGGCTTTGGCTATTATTCAGGTTTACATCGTGGTTTGGGGTCTTGATTTTCTCATCAGCAGAACTGGACGGACTAATTACTTGCTAGCCCCCTAAACCTCAAGCCGTCAACCCTAAACCCCTAAACCCGTATCATCCTGTGAATTGTGGAAGTCGTTACCGGCCTGTGTGTTGCCAGCAGTCAAGGGGGGAAAAACGAAGATGGCGCTACCCGTTGGCGCTTGCATGGATTTTCGGGTGTCAAACACAGCAGGCAACACGAACTATAGAACCAGGGGAGAATCAAGGGGAGGATTTGCACATCTCACAGCGTCCGCACTGGGGTTAGGCAAATGGAGACCGGGCCTGGCATACATCCAAACATCAACCTACGCACGTCCGCACGTTCGTTCAGACCCCAACTCCTAAAAAAAGCGAAACTTCAAGCTTCGACTAGCGGGATTGCAGGATCTGAGCCCTTAATGCTCTTTAACAAGGTGCATGGGACGCTCCAGAACCCCTTCAGCAAGATGTATCTTAGCCCTTTGAGCCCTTTAATACGGTGTATTGGATATGAGCCGTCTAGGAAGTTATATCTGAGCCCCCCAAATGCTTTAACAAGAGGTATCGGAGCAGCCAAAAACCCTTTCAGCAGATGTGTCGGTATCACTCTTCAATTGCTTGCTTTCACTGGGGGAAAGGGACACCGGACCTGACCAAAGGCGTGTATTTGATGACCTTGGATTGCTAGTGTTCAGAGGTTGATGATGGGTTGGGTGTCGATTGCTTCCCGTTGGCCCGTGCGTTTACATGGTGTTACCGCTTCCGGTCGTGACGTGTTTGCCTTGGCCCTGACCGGTGCTTTCAAGGGTGTTTACGGAAAGGTCGGTTCGGCCTTTCCCCACTCGCCCGAAGACAATGCCCTCCCTGGCCACAGGAAGCTCCCCGCTCCTCGGAAGATTCTTGGACGGCCGAGGACACAACTCCGTTCACTTGGGGATTAGGGCTTCAGCGTTTTAGGGTGAAGGTTTTCGGTTGAGAGTGTGAGGGCTTATGAGGTTTCGGATTTGGAGTGCAAGGTCTCGTTCTTGTGCGTGTTCTGCTTTTGCCTTCGATGTTTTTTACATATATATTTCTTCCCCAAGAGTAGGATCACGTGTTATGATGAACAGGATTCTTCTGGTTCTTGTTGCTGCCATCTCGAAGTGTTACGTCTGTTGTCATTGATGTTACATGCACTCCCCAGAGCCGGTGTATCGCTGTCGACGGCTGAATCGCGTGATTGAGTTTGCAGGTTTATGGGTGTCTTTTCATGTGAGGGCGAGGCTGATGCATTGTGAACAGTCTTGAGCCTGCAAACTGCATCCATGAGGCTAGGTTTCAGGATTGGTTGGATTTCGTGTTGGAGATGAAGTTGTTGTGACGCTTGCGGTTGGTGTTGGCCGTTTCGTTGGTCTGTTTAGCAAATGTTGAGGCTGGGTTGGGGCTTGTGAGTTTTTCTGACCCATCAGTCCACCCCAAGACATATTTTGTATTCTCGATATTGCCCTCCTCAATCTTCTCCCACCACAAACCGACAACCGCCACCACTGTGTCGTAGAAGCGCTTGAAAGGACATGGCGCCCCTCATCCTGGCAGGATTAGACGACTCTTTCGGGTTCACCCCTCCCTGTTGGGGTTTCGTTGGCTTCAAGAAACTCTACTTGCACGGCCTTGGGCCTCGGGTCTAGGTTTCGGGGTGGTTCAAGCTGTGGTTGGGCAGAGGGGACTTTTCGTTCTAAGACTTCTTTGGCACTTGGTTGCATGAGCGGTTCGAAGCGTCGTAGCCTCGGGCTTCAGGGGCTGTGTTTCCGCGCCTGAAACTCAAACCCATAGAAGACTTGACTTACCATGCTTCGACATGCTTTCTCTCTTGTAGTGGTTGCCAAGCCGAAGATACTTGGAATTGGGTTGCCAAGCTAGTAAAAAAGGAGCAGGGGCTCTGAGGCATGGGGTTCCCGGCTCGGACGACTTCCCGTCCTCTGTCCTATTCCTCTCTTCCGGGTAGCGGACCAGGCATCGGGCTCCTGAGGGAGAGGGTAGAGCCCTTGAGCACAGACAGAGCCTCACTGACAACCCGAACTTACCAAGGTTCGGAACAGTGTTCCCCTAATCCTTAAACCCTGGGCCCCAAACTGCCCTGAACATCACACAATCCGTTCTCTATGTTCCTTTGCTGGCTCGGCTCAAGCCTTGCCCCCCATCAGAGAACGAGTCTTTCCACTAGACTTTGCGCCCTTGGAGCTCGAGACTCGCTCCAAAAGCTTAGACTAGAGGAAGTTTGAAGTGGAGATCAGGAGATCTTGTCGGGTTCCAAGGGTTCAGGAGTAGCTTCGTTTGTCAGCTTGGCTGCTTCGTGGCTGAGCTTTCCCGCTGGGCTCCCAGCATCTGGACACTCCCTGATTCGACCAAGCCCGTGGTCACCTTACTCAAAACTGAAAGCCTGATGCCCTGCAGATCAGCTAGCTTTCCCGGACTCTTGATTCACGACCGCCCCGCGCCTGCCTAGGTTGCAGTTTGGCTTTGTAGGATTTGGGGCTTTGGAGTTGTGCCGGGGTTTTGCCTTGACCCTTTGCAAGATGTTCGCTGAGTCGCTTGCCTGTGCATGGCCTGTACATGAGGTCCCTTCATGTTTTGAAACCCCATCATCTCGGTTTTGAAACCCCATCATCGTTCAGGTCTTGAAGAGTCATCCACCCAACAGGTAGCCGCCCTGTCTTGAAGTTCGGGACATATCTGAGGATTGAAGATTGCTTGGGAGCAAGGCTGTGGGGGTTGGGGATCACGGTTTCCAGGGCTCCCTTCCAGTGAGAGCATGGTTGCACAGGCTTGAACAGGACGCCTCAACAAGTTAAGCCTAAAGCTTACAGTGATTTCTCTCAACCATTTCGAATCGGTAAGATTTCTGCGGAAAGAACATGGAACACCCGACCGCAGCTCCCAAGAGTCGGTTGGAGGGCTCTAGTGAGCCTGGTGGTAAGGGTCGCTCAGGGGAATCCTGGGCAGCATCCTCACAGTAGCTGCGAGGTATGAGCCGTAAACACATCTCACCGTTTCATGTGGGCCAGGTACTCAATGGCAGGCATCGCCACAACTTGAGTCCTAGAGCCTTGAATGCCTGAAGCCTAGGTCCGGTCCTTGCACTAGTACCCCTTTCGCCTCTTTATGTTGTGGTTCCCTTGTATCATTTTTGTTGGTACTGGGGGAAGGGGTGCCCTCATTGTTGACTCGAAAGCTCGGGAGTGGATCGTCCAATTGGCTCTCTGTGGTTTAGGGGTTTAGGGTTTAGGGTTTAGGGGTTTAGGGACTGAGGATCCCGATTCGGGTTTAGGGCTCCGTGGCAGGAACCTCTTTCGCCATGCGGGTGAGCCTCATCTTGCCTTTGGCTCTTGCCTTTGTCGTGGAGGCAGGGAGGTTGTGCTGGTTTGCGGTTCGGGGCCTCGGGCATTTCAGGAGCTTCGGTCTGCCTTCGGTGAGTGTTGTTAGTTGCCTTTACTTACTTTTAGGGGCCCTAAGCCCTAATCCTTAAGGGCCCTAAACCCTAAACCCTATTCTCTATATGAACCCTAAACCGGAGTGCTTTCGGAGGGGAGTCAGGATTTGGGACCTCCCAGAGCTGGCTTCGGAAGTTTCTGGGGCATCCACACAAAGAGATTTCCATTGCTGCCGAAAATCCGCAGTTTCGGCTCTGCGCCGAAACGTAGCAGAGGCGGACCCCGTTGTTTGCGCCGGTTCTGAAATCCTCGCAACATGTTGTGTGCCGCCGGCACCACTGCGACTACTCCACTGGAGCAGTATGCGAACTGGCTGTCAGGCCTGCGGGTGTGGACCTCCTAGAGTTAAGCACCCGAAGCGTGAGGTAAGCAAGCAGATGCACATTGGTTTGGACCATGGAAGAGCGTAACACGTTACGGAATCTTGAAGTGAACGGCATCTGCAACTTGAAACAGAATCATGTGTCATGAGACCCCGCGCTCACCTCTGATCACAGCAGCGGAGCTTTCTACCGGAAAAGCAGGACCAAATGCCAAGATCACGGATGAGGGTGTCGAGATGCTTTTCCCGATGTACACGGTGCCCCTTCAGGCTGGGTGCTGATTCCGCTTAAAAAACCTTGTGACCTTTTGAGCAAGAACTTCAAGTCTCAGCACTCTCACCATCGTCTCGCTTTCGTTATCCCTGTAGACAGATGACTGTCGAGAGTGGTGTGCAACCCAACACGAATCCTTCTAGCGTTTCATAGTCGGGAGTTTGCTTTCGAATCAGCGGCCCGGCAGGTGCTCTTCGACATGGGTGAGATCGTTCCGCACGAGGCCGAGAAGGGCACGGTACCTGTTTTGCATTCTGGGAGGGGCGCCGCACAACTAGGAAGTTGCAAGCTGTAGTTTGTATTTCTGCACCAGGAGCTCATGGAGCAAGGGGTCTTGGTGGAGTTCGAGCAAACATTGGGACAGGCGGCCTTTGTGTCACACCAGTGGGTTGGCCGCAATCACCCGGACCCAGAGTTCAAGCAGATGAGAGTGTTGCAAGATGCCTTGCGGCACGTGATGTCGGACCTGAAGTATATCCCCTTGGATATGAATTCAGAAGCTTTGGTGCCTGGCGCCAAGAGCCTGGACACCGCGAAGCTGCATTCGAAGCCGCTCTTCGTTTGGTACGACTACTTCTCCTGCCCACAGCTCGATCTCCAAGCTACAGCCTCCTGCAGAAGTGGCATTGGCCGACATATCAGCGACTTGACTGGGTTCGTGTTGGACCTTTTCGCCCCTGTAGTGACTGGGAATCGGGGAGGGCTTTTGCACCCCGGCGAGCGAGGACCCGCCCCTCGCTTCCCCAATGGTCGGTGTAGGGTCGTTGGGGTTTGTGGCTGCAGGGTTCATGCTTCGGTTCAGTCCGGCTTGAGGACTAGGGTTTGCTGAGGGTGGCAGAGGGTGGGGCAGGTGGGCAGAATTCAGCGCACCACCAGGTGGTTGCACTAACATTTTATATAGTGAAGATATTTTGTGTGTAATCTAATATGTAGAAACATAATGATGTAACACAACACAATATAATTCAGTACAACAATATAGTATTAGTATGATATAACTTGTCATCGTTTTACTACAAGCTTAACATAATAAATACACTATTATGCAATACAGGTCAATATAGTATAGTATAATATCATATAATATGTTATAGTATAGTTTCAGTATAATATAATTGTACTATAGTAATAATGTATAGTCTAATATAGTATACAACTTTACAATTTAATATGTAACAATACAACAATAATAATAGTATGGTAATATGTAAGATAATACTAGTATGCAACCTAATAGATCAGACAAAACATGTATCATATCATTTTTGACATATACTATAACAAAACATAGAATATGTGATATGTATATGTATGTATGTATATATATATGATATGATGGCGTGCATAGTACAATGTAGCACGTATTGTATTCTACGACAATATAGTATAATAGAAGAGAGTAGTATACAACTGAATAGCACACAGTATAACACAATGTGATATATGATATAACATGAAGCAGCACAACATATTATACTTCAAACGAAGTAATATGATGTTGAAGCAGCACAATTTATTATCCTTCAAACAAAGTAATATGATATGATGTAGTTGCTGACATGATACCAGATGTTTGTATGGTACGCCACGTTTTTATGTATTGGAACATCAAGCAATTCAATACAATATTTTACAGAATGTTATGGTGTGTGTAATAGAATGCTCTGTAGTGCAATGTAATGTAATGGAATGCAAAATGAAAATATTAGAACCTGATAGAGAAGATATTCAATAGTATAATGTAACAGAATATAAAGTCGAATTTGATTCAGCACTGTAAGATGTGGTACGAGATTAGGTGAGATGCGATGGCAAGATATATTATGTAGATCTTGATATCAATGTACATAAAAATGAACCTACATTTTCAGTAGAATATTGGTACACATACATACACTGTATATATATATATACACACACTATGTACTGACTTCAATGAAGTTCCTCAAGAAGCCAGGTGACGGCAGTGGCCTTGCCAGAGCCATCGAGAGCATCCCGGCCTACATCGCCAAGTCGAGCTTCTTCTTCGTCCTGTCTCCGGTCATCCAAAGCAGCGGTGATCAGGAAACGTGCAAATTCGACCCACACAATACTTAGGGGACGATGGGGCTAGGCACTAAGAAGACAAGATTTTGCAAATGCATGGTGGGGCAACATAGAACAAAATTTAGCAAAGGGCTGATGCAATGAAGTAGCGACTGCCGAAGCCAGGAGTCATCTGGCGCAGTAGTCAACCATCGCCCGACCACGGATATCTGCACCATATCCCCTGAACCCTAAACCCTAAACCCCTAAACCCTCAACACCTCTTTCGCCTGGCCTCGACTCTGAAACGCAACTCCTAACTGCTAATACGGTTGATGGTATAAATCCTGCATTACCCATAATCAGGAACATACCATAATTCCCATAGTGTAGGGTCCGAAAGGTAACGCAGATACTATATCATCAACAGTATCTCTTATCCACGTGTGATAATGTAGTGCCCAAAGACGAGGACAAACTGTTCGGCCCTGGCAGCTGGTCGGAACGGGGCTGGTGTCTGGCGCCAAGTGCTCTAACCATAGCTTCAGCATGAAAGAGGCCGTCGCGGCAGCACCCTGTGATCGCTTTAGAAAGTAATTACATCACCATCACTAGGTCAGAACACATGAACCAGGTATTCGGAATTGCAGCAGGACAATGTCGCCAACCTCTAAATCCTGAACGCAGTAGCCTGCAACCCCCCCCCTCCCCCACCGAAAAGGTTGAGCCCCATCCGCACCTAAAATACAGTAGCGTGGTAAAACACAATAACTTTTCGCCATGAAGAGCCGTCAATACTTCACCGACAGAAGAGGAAGCCAGCAATTCCAAAGATATGTGTCTCTACCACAGGTTCTCATATTGACAGGCTTCATACCGGTTCCTCACAACCCTGTTCCCCTGCACCGAATGGGATGGGTTTGGTAAGGTCGTGTTGAACGAGCCTTGCGCGAGCTCTCGCCTGAGAACTCCTGGATCATGATCAAGAGCCAAACGGAGCTACTGGGTTCTTGTTGGCTACAAGTTTATATTTTTGTTATAATAAAACCCAACAAGGATTATAAACATGATAATTTTAAATATAGCCCCAAAACGGGAACCCCAGGCTAGAGCTGGTGGCGAGCCCGGTCGGAGCCGGGGGTGGTGGCGGAGCGCCTGGGGAAGGCGTCTTCACCGTGGCCAGGGACAAGCGGAAGCTGGCGCCGATCCTAAGGCAGACCTTGAAGCGGAAGCTGGTTTTGTCTCTGAAGAGCAAGGACTTGGAGGCCTACCGAGTGCTTCTGAATCTGCAGTCTGTTACCTTCAGAGGCCTGGACGTGAAGCCCACGAGTGATCTGATCCCCGGCGATCCGGCAGATTCCGCGCCCGGCGGGTCGGAGTCCAGGTCTCTTGAGGTGGCACACTTTCTACACCAGAATGGCTTCAATTCTGTCACGGACTCGGATTCGCGTGGATGGTCAACATTGCACTATGCCGCTCTGGGTGGAGATCCCAGTTTGATCCGGTGCCTCCTAGAGGAGCAGGCAGACGTGAATCTTCAAACGAAGAAGGATCAACCGCTCGTCGGTTTGGCATCTCTCGTCTCGCCCCTCGCCATTTCTGTCTTCTTCCGGCACCTGGGCTCAGAATCCCTTTTGGTAAAAGCCTCCTTTGGGAAGGAAGCAGGCAAGGGCTCCATTAAAACCCGAAGCTAGACCCAGGCACAACGAGGCAGCGCGGCTGCTCCTCGCCGCCAAAGCCAAATTTGAAGGTGGCCTGCAACCTGCCTTGAACTTGGCAGGCATCTCGAACAATCCGGAAGGCATTCGCATTCTTTGCGATGCTGGCTGCAACCCCCACACGACCAAGGCACAGATTTGGGGTGGAGTTGGGGAGTCAAGGGCCCATGTTTTATGTAGATGCTGCCTCTTCACCTACGACGGTGCACTTGCAAGGAAAACCCTCCCGGCATAACTTTTCCAGTCTGACCCTAATCCATCGACACTACACCTCTTCTTGTGCCCATGGGAACGTTTTCGAGTTTCTGGCACCGCCTTTGTCAGGACATCTTTGGTTTCAGCGCCATGGAGGCGGCTGCAGGTCAAGGGCAGGTGGAGGCCGTGGAGGAAATCCTCCGCCAAGCTGGGGGAAGTGTGAGCAGTTGGATTTTGAACCGGGCCCTCTATCTTGCCTGTTGTTTCCGTGGCGGCAAGGCCGAAATGATCCATCGGCTCATCGAGATGCGTGCAGACGTGAACCGCCCTTATCCATTCAAACGGTTCTCGTTCAATGCGGCGTTCTTGGTTGCGAAGAGCCTACAGCATCGTTTTGGCAAGGTCACAAGTATCAGCAAAATGTGTTACCATTCTTGGGGGGCGCGGCCTTTGATGGTAGCGATCCTGTCTGCACAGTACGAGGGAGCTGCGGTGCTAATCGCCGAAGGAGCCCGCTTGGACTTGCCAAACAAGCGTGGCTGCACCGCCATTGATTTGGCTCAAGGCCAAGACTTGCCATTTTTCATGACAGAGGCGTTGGAGGGGCGGACGGGAGAGTGCAAGCACGTAGCAAAAGCAGCTCTCGAGCACAGCTACTTTGAAATGTGACATCGCCCTCCGAATATCGCCCTGCAACCTGAAGTGGCTATGTTCTTCTTCTGCCCATGTCTTTAGTTCGTCTTGTCTCCGTTTTCTCTTCTCACACTTTTCTGGCCAAGCCGGCAGTGCGAGAGTCGTGATTTTGGTATCTTTTGGTAAGACCACCAGCGCATGTACAGTGAGGATTTTCCCGCTGGTTCTTCCTCCCTCACACTACCTCGCGCGATCCGCCAGAGCGCTGCAGTATGCTTGGCCCGCCAAGGCTGTGGGTGATCATCCCCTAGCCCGTCGCCGGAAGCCATATATGCTGCAATCTGGTGATCTGAAACCAGATCAAAACCCAATCCGACCAGTGCATGGAAACGAAGCTCAATCTGCCGAAGCTTCAAGCATCTAGAATGCAGCGGCTTGAGTTCAACAATCAGTAGTACTATTCTTCAGGGTTCCCTGCAACAGCAGCTGCGTTTTTCGTAGATCCGGAACTCTACACTTTCAGCCCTCAGTTTGGACGAGAGGAACCAGGGTGGAGGGTTGAGGAAATCGAACGAGAGTAGGTCAAGCTCTTTTCAGGTGTTTCCGTGCAAGTTGCTGGTACCAACTGCTGCTTCTCCTGTGAATCACCACATCCGGCGTGGCCGGGATAGATTTGTTGCCTCCCTTACCGTTGAAGTGAGGCTTATGATTTCTAGTGCACATATCAGCTATCTAGAAGTCCCTAAACCCTAAACCTTAAACCCTGGTAAGAAGAGTTCAAGGGTTTAGGCACGCAGCCAGTCGGGCTGAAGCCCGCAATCCAAGCAGATATTGGCAGCAGGCACGAAAGAAGGCGAGCCCGACAGAAGAGGCCGGACTCCGTTGGGGCTTAGGGTGTGGGGTTTAGGGTGTAGTAAGGGGCATGGCTGTCGATATGGGCAGCAAAGCCCCGAGACATGATCAGGTTGAGGTGATGCCCCCCTTTTACACTGGGAGCTCCACGGATTTTGGCTCAGGAACCCAGTGCCCAAGGGCCCAAACCCACTTTGGAAACTTTGGAGCCTGCCGAGTTTCGAAGAGCTTAGCGCAGTATCCTCCACACCCTAAGCCTGCTACCTGGGCTGTTTGAACCCTATGATGTAGTTCCTTCTTCTAGCTATCTTGATCAAGAATGTGAAGAACCCTGAAAACGTATCTTGCAATTAGAGGAACCTTCCCAGCCTGCCAGCACAAGCATTTCATGCAAGCTCGGGGAAAAAAACCGTCAACACTCAATGTGTTGTTGGGCTTCAGCGTCCTTTCCCGGAGGGGTGCCTGTTGGACGGTCAGGTCAGGATGATACTTGATAGTTACCCTGCGAAATCATTCCTTGCATCCTGTGTCATGAATTTCACTCCGCTACATGCCGCTGCTTCATACCCTAAACCTTCGAGCACACACCGAAACAAACGTGTTTTCCCCGGCTGATAAACTTCTGACATCTTCTGACCAACCATCAACTCGGGATTCCTAAGACAGCGAACGACAACGAAGCATCCGGCAACTTCTTTTGAATGCGGCCCCGGGCAGCAATTCATTGCGCGCAGAAGCAACATTCTGGAAGGAAGTCGTGAAAAGGATGTGTTTTTCGATCAGGTGTTGGATTTGAGTTTTGTTCGAATAAAAAGCAGGCAGCCGCAGAACAATGAAGAAAGCTCCAGCAAAACTTGAGAAAATTCCTGCAAGTAATGGTGAAATAGGTAAACAGCAGCGAAAAAACTCAACGACTAAGGCATCATCATCAAGAAAGTCCAAGACGCAGAACGAGTAAGCACAAAACCGCAACATGCAAGACTATTCGCAGAATCAACCAACGCCGATTCACTTGAGGATTGTTCTGGACCATCTTGGAAGTTTCAGGTGCTTTGGGTGGTCAGAGGTTCCTGTTTGTATGGCTCTGAATGTTCCTTAGACATAGAAAATGCGAGTTTTTGACATGTCCGAATGGAGATCCAACACGAGACAAACCTTGACCCCTGAACAAACCCTAACCACCCCCAAAACCTTAACTCGACACCGCTGGGTGTTGGACATTCGGGCAGTACGGGTGAAGTCGCTGGCCCAAAGGCAGAAAACTGTTCAGGACTGTCCAAAATACTTCCAATTCCTCACCGAAGTTGTTCGTGCATTCTCTGTTTTTTGGGGGGATTACTTCTCCCTGCAAGAAGACCCCATCCAGGGAACGACATGTCTCAGAGCTACAAGTATAGTCCCTAGATATAACCCTAAACCCAAAGCACCCCAAGAGTTGAGAGGTTCCCTGTTGGAACGGAGCAGGGGGAAGCTCCAGGAGAGAAGCCTGAAGCTTTTTTTGTCCCGTTGCTTTTTTCTCACAGCCCTTGAGGCGGCGGGCCTCGCTCATACTGCACCTATAGTCTCCATTGTCCTTCCTTTTTTGGTGAAACCAACTTTTATATGTAGGATCCTATATGGGAACCCCCCAAAAACGAACTAGCATGGAGACTATTGGCACTATTGCTTAGAGTGCCTATTGAATTCTATACCGGTAAGAAGACCTGAAAACCCTATGCCAAATATACTAAGGCCCCTAGAGTTCACAGGCCCGGCCCGAAGAAGCAAGCCACTCCGTGGAGGCTCTTCAGGAGCTGGATGTCGACAAGTCTGGCAAGGCATCTGCTGAACAGACGGGTTTCAGGGATTCCAGTTTTGGATCAACTACCGTTATTGTTGGTGCCTGCTTGCTTCCGCACTGTCCCATCTGGAAGGCTAGTTGAATGATTTAAGGGCTCCGGGCAGAGAGATACTTCGACAGCTTGAAATCGGGGGTCGCGCTCTGTTACAATCCCGAGTTCGCAAGGATTTGTGCACCCCTTGCTTATCTTATGAGGCAAGACATGGACACTAGGAATTCGTGGCATCTGTGCAGGTGGAGCAGAATGAGCTGGAGTCATTCGCACGCTCCAAGGCGGTCGGATAATGTCGAATCCTGCGGAACATTCTCTTCTGCAAGTGGTTGCTCTTTCAAAGGTGAAGCTACGTGTTCAGATTCCGCTTCCGAGGCTTTGTTTAAAAGTATAAATCCTGAGACGAGGCTTAGGAATTAGGATCTTTGCGGCTTAGAAGTTGTACCCCCCAAGCCCTTCGCAGGCTTCCTGGTATTAGGGCATTGTATATACCTTCCTTAAGCAGCCCTTGGCAAGCATCCACGGCACGTGCTAAGCTCTCACCACTTGGCAAGCCGATTTTGCGTCCTCGCGACGGTTGACTGTCTGAAGGGCGAAAGTTTCAGAGCTTCTTTCCAATTTTTTTAGTGACCGCGGTTGAGCGTAGGGTGTTGCTGCATTTGCCAGATTTTGGACGTGGCCTTGGGATCTAAAAGGGCAGAGGAACCAACCAAAGCGACAGAGCAGCAACAACAAAAGAGGTCGGACAGGAACTTACAGAGGGATCTTGGATTGACGGTTGAGGGCCTCTCACCAGAGTAGACGAAATGCGGCATGGGGGGGGGGGGGGGGGGGGG